GACGAGACGACGATGAGTTAAACAAGGTTTATGTACAGCATATACAGAGGCGTTACAATTTCGGCACTGGGGCCGACAGAGACTCGAAGAGCCGAGCTCTCCTCTCTAATACATAGGTCAACGTTTCGCCTAAGACCGCCGACTCACACACATGTCGGCTCTCCGACATGGGGACTCCTCTCTCGTAGGACCACCGATCGCGACGCGCCGCAGGGCTTCTTTTATTTACACCGGGTCCAACCAAAATGTCCAATCAGAAGCGCCGCTGGTCGTCCGGGCAGATTTCTCCAATGGGGTTGCCGCGCCATGCGTCAGACCACCAGACACGAGGACGCCGGCTCGCTGTCACGTGCGCCGCTGACTCAATGCACGTGGGCGAGAGAGGCGCCGCGCGTGTTCACGCCGTTGAGATGTTCGCGTCAGGCGGACTGCGGGCTGGCCTTGACCCAGATTGCCTTTTTCCGAGGCACGGACGTTTGACGAGGACTCGCTGGCATAACAGCACCCCCGCCGCCAGACAATGCACCGGAAAGACGAGCTGCTTCCACGGGGCTCGGATGTCAGGTGCGCTCGTTCGCCAGGTCCCTCCAGGTTCGCCTCCAGGGCCATGGGGAGAATACAGCTCCAGACTGTTCCGGGAACACATCCCATTTTGACGACGGATCCCAGCTCCACTGGCTTGTCGCCACAACTTGCTGACCAGCTTCACTCGTCTCTTCTGACCATCTTCGGTTTCAGCACTTGTCGATGGTTGTGCAACTTGCCAAGAACGGATCGACAACAGACAACACACGACACACGCAAGTGCCCTCGGTCACCCGACAGAACACCAGACAAAGTATAGTACAACATATACCTACCTACGTGTCTATCGGAATTTTGTTCCCTCTACATCAAGAGGCACATGTGGGACACAAGACTCTTAAAGTAAGAACTTGAATTTTTCACAATTACAACAACGCAACGAATTAGAATACCACATAAAGTTGGCCCCTTGAGATCACTCTGAACGAGAGCGCTCAGCCCAGGTCGTGATGAGGTCAAAATTTTGCCCCGAATCGCCAGCCAGAAACCGAAAGGTTGAGAAGGTACTAGCTAGAACGCACTGCTCAATGCACCTCCATTAGCGTTTAGCTTTCCTTTTTTTTTTAGCGAACGTCAAAGTTGCGCTGTGGAGCAACGTGCTCCACCTCAGTAACCGGCCACTTTTAGGCGACGATACCTATGCGGCACCAAGAGCGGCTCACACTTGCGACGTTCCACAGGAGAACAACGATACGGCTTGCTAGGGATTGGTTCCTCACAAGTTAGCTCTATTTCGTGTTCGATCACCGTCGTGTCTCCGGGACGGTCCGAGAACACGTATCCAAACTCGGAAACAATCCTGTTCAGGTCCTCCTCCTGGACTTCACTTAACCTAGGCTTTAGGTTCAACTCCTCCCAGATTACTTTCGATCCCCCTTCGAATATATCCCTAGAACTCCAATTTTCTGCTTCCTCCTCCTCTGAAGCATTCAACAACAGATTACAACCGCTTGATGTTGAACGTGTGGTTTCATCAAGTTGTAAATTTTGTCCGGCCGCCTTCCTAATTTCACTTCATAATTTGAATCGCAAGGCTTCGATAATACTTTGGCGGGCCCTTCCCAATCAACCTCAAGCTTGTTCCTTTTGGATGGCTGCAGCCGCATTACCTGATTATCAACTTCAAAAGCGCGCTTCTTCCCCGATTTCTCGTAGTGCTCCTTCGACAGCACTTTTGCCGCGTTTTTCTGGCTTTCCACTAGCGCTTCAATCGAGAGATCCTCACTCTGCTCTCGAATGAGCGTCTCTCGATCAACTCTCGGCAGCTCGCTCCAACTTTCCGCTACAGGCGAGAGCGTTGCAGCCCTCTCGCTCTGACTCAATGGCGCCATGTCGTCTCCCCTTTCTCCGGAAACCGCGCCGGTCGTGTCGGCGACGGGCCGCTCGCGTGACTGCTCACATGACTCATGCGGAAACTTTCCTTTCTGGGGTTCCGTCGACCCGCCGACAAGGTCACTTGAGAGTTCACCGCATGGAACCAGGTCCAGCTTCCGCGAAAGCTTTCGCGCTTGCGATCGCGTGAGGGCCATGCACGCAAAGCCGGGGAAGAACGATTTGCCCTGCTCTTTGAGGAGCTGCTCCGAGTTGTTGGAGAAAAGATAAGGAAAACGATCGTTTAGCGCGGCAGACACAGCCGCTTCGGTGCGAAGCTTACCGAACGGGCCTTCAATGACAACCGTGGCGATTGGTAAGCGAACACTCTGCTCCTCGGCGACTTGCCTGATCCACGCGCATTCTCCTGTAAAGTCATCCGGAGACACCAATGAAGGATGGACAACGTCCATGGTTGCCGCTGAGTCTCTAAGTGCTCGGCACGTTTTCTCATTGACCCTAATTTCTTGGAGATACGGCTCCAACAACCGAATGTTTTTTTCTGATTCTCGGATCGTTGCGAAGGCAAACTTTTCCTGACAGTTTCTCGCGATGTGCCCTTCCTTTTTACAGTTGTAGCAGATTAGTGGCTTCCGTGATTCAAACGCCCGTGTGGTATCAGTGCGTTGTTTAGAAACCTCACTCGATTTTTCCGCTTCTGTTTTCCCTTCCTCTACAGTGTCCTTCGTAAGAGACTGGTCCTTTTTGAAATTACGGTGCGGAGCGGGTTTCCGTTGATCAGGTTTCTTTGAAAAGCCCTCTTTTCTTTCATCCTTTTCAACGCGCACTGCCCTGCTATGCAACTTTCGGCGAGTATAATACTCCTCAGCTAACTCTGCTGCCTTGTTTAGCTGTACTTCACCAAGTTTGTCCTGCAGCCAAAGTTTGACATCCTCCTCGATGCAGCGGTAGAATTGCTCCAATGCAACGCATTCCACCACTTTATCGCGGTCGTCATAAACACCTTCGCCCTTGAGCCATTCAATTAAATCGGCTTTAAGACGAAACGCGAAGTCAACGTGTGACTCATTCCCCTTTTCAGCATACCGGAACCTTTGCCTGAAAGCCTCGGGTGACAACTTATAACGTCTCAAGAGCACTTCCTTAACCTCGTCATAGCTCTCAAACGCTTCCCTAGACAAGCAAGTTAATGCGTCGGACACTTCGCCGGGAAGAAGAGCTAACAGGTTCTGCGCCCAAAGAGACCGCTCCAAAGCGTTTCGCTCACAGACGTGTTCAAACTTGACGAGATACTTCGCCATGTCCTCGCCTACTACAAACGGTGGCAGTTGGTCCCGAATTCTAAAACCGCTGACCTGAATCGTCGGAGAAGCTACGCTAGGCACCTGCGAACACTGTAGGATTGCCAATTCTAGTCGTTTCAACTCTAGGCGCTCTTGCCTCTCGGCCTCCTCGCGCTCGCGACGTTCGCGCCTTTCAGCTTCTTCACGTTCGCGAGTTTCTACTTCTCGCCTTTCAGCCTCCTCGCGGCGTGCTTTGATATCCGCCCAGGCCTCATCGACTTCCTCAGCCGACACTCCCTCATCCTTCATGATCTCAAGGATCGCTTGCTTTCGTTTCGCACGGCCCAAAGTAATGCCGAGTTCCTCACAAATTTCGATGAGTTCCTTCACTTTAAGGTTCTCCATCGTTCACACTAGCCTCTTGCTGTTTGCCCCTGTTAAGAATCTACTTGCCGTACCCGCTATAAGCCTACTAGCAAGACGCGCAAGCAATTTTTCACACTCCCGTGTTTACCCCTCTGCATTAACTTTGGTTTCAAAGCGCTTCGACTTGGCTTGAAACGATCAAAGATCACTTCAATGCTTCACACAGCCCTTCTCTAAACTACTACAACCTGAGCTAGAGTAGTCTGGTGAACTGAGGGGAAAACATCAGGCACTCACCGCATCGATGTCGCTGACGCCGGCCGATCCCACCGCTGCCACCACTGTTGCGAAAGACGGACCAATCCCGCCGAAGCCACCACTGTTGCGAAAGACGGCGACGCCGACACGGCCCCGAAGGCGCCACTGCTTTCAACACCACCGGAAAGGTCACCAGCCGTTTGGTAGCGTATGTTTCTCAGCCCGCGACTGCTTCTGCGCAGAGCTAATAAGACGAGCGGACGAGACGACAATGAGTTAAACAAGGTTTATGTACAGCATATATACAGAGGCGTTACAATTTCGGCACTGGGGCCGACAGAGACTCGAAGAGCCGAGCTCTCCTCTCTAATACATAGGTCAACTTTTCGCCTAAGACCGCCGACTCACACACATGTCGGCTCTCCGACATGGGGACTCCTCTCTCGTAGGACCACCGATCGCGACGCGCCGCAGGGCTTCTTTTATTTACACCGGGTCCAACCAAAATGTCCAATCAGAAGCGCCGCTGGTCGTCCGGGCAGATTTCTCCAATGGGGTTGCCGCGCCATGCGTCAGACCACCAGACACGAGGACGCCGGCTCGCTGTCACGTGCGCCGCTGACTCAATGCACGTGGGCGAGAGAGGCGCCGCGCGTGTTCACGCCGTTGAGATGTTCGCGTCGGGCGGACTGCGGGCTGGCCTTGACCCAGATTGCCTTTTTCCGAGGCACGGACGTTTGACGAGGACTCGCTGGCATAACACCATTTACATCCGCTTGATATCGGAATGATTCTCGAAGCGTCGAACATAGCGGCATAGGTCTTTCCGCAGGGGAATGACATGGAGCAAAATTAGCTAACAACTTTTAGAACTAAGTATGAGTATAATGGTCAGACATAAATAAAGCAGAATGGATCATTTAGTCTCATATTTCTTCAATTTCAGTATTCCGCATGCACTCGTATGTGTTCAAAATTCGCGCGGTCTAAAACAATCAACTTTTCTGGTTAAAACCAAGGAAACACTGCGTTCAAGCACAACCAATTTTAACAATATTTAACGTATTTAAAAAATTTCCTGCATTGTGAGAGCTTTGCACATATGTTTACTTTCGTGGTAAAAACGTTGTTGGTAAATATGGCTGATAAAGCAACGGCGTTGGATAATGCCATTTTCCCATCAACATCGTCATCAAACGCGTGTTTGCACAGTAGTTTTGCATGTTCAAAACTCTAAGCGCGAGCGTCAAGCAGTTTGTTTTCATTGCCTAGTTTGTTCTATGCGCAACTTTTCAAGCAGCGATCGGGGACAATGACAGCTCGAGCTGAGAAAGCCGTACGTTTCCTCGTGTCTGGTAAGTGGAGCCCGAACCATGTAGTCTAGAAGAGTGTTTCGTGCTGAGGGATACAAGAAGCTGTGAGACTTGGCGAGCGATCGAGTGGCGTCCCTGCCAGCTTAATTATTACGTTGAAAACGGTGCTCGTCATTTAGTGAATGATAGGCGTTTATTGCATACGTATTCGATGTTTATCCTGGCCCCGGTACTTCTCGCAAAGTACGCTACGCACGTGGTTTGGGTTAACGAGGTCCGGCGCAAGCGTCGAACGTTGGAACGCGTGCTCAAGCACTTTCCGTGGCCGTGTCACGACGTGGAAGCTACCCTTTTTGGCAAGGGATCTTAGCTTCCATCTAATACTCTGTTGATCGCCCCGTGACGTTGAACTGTCATTTGTTGACAATATATCTCTAATTCCATCACAGATATCTGGACAAGAGATGGCTCTTTTCACCGCCTTCCTTACAAAATTGAGTGGCTTGTTTATTGCGTGGGCTGGTGCACGTGGCATGGTATGCACCAAGCGTGCGTTTCATTCTTACTTCCTTCTAGTTATTAACAGCGACACGTCTAGTTCCTGGTTTCTCTTTAATTAAATCGATTGGCTTACTTTCACGTTCACAACTGTGATATCTCGCATTGATTATTTTGACAACTAGTCAGAAGTTGTGCGTTATGCTTTTGCGTATTGCTGCCATTTGTGTGCTGGAACATAGTTCGTATTGTTTTGCCAGGCCTTTCCTTGCAGGCTTTATTTGAAAGCATCGCTATTTTTATTTATTGATTATCTATTGAATATTCTGAAGCATACATAATCATTTTGCATGTGTCATAGCATGCTACTGCAAGAATTTCAAAGTACTATAGTGATGTATTATATGTTGTCATTTCTTTTTTTTGGTACTTGTGGAGGAGAGAGCTTTCAAGCCTTTGTTCTAGATAAGACTTGCTAAATTGGTTTTTCATAGATGCAGTAACACTTGACTTCATATCTGCAGAGCATCTTTTTAATTTAAGGCATATTACAGCAACGCATTGTATCTATGACTTGTGACTTCTGATTTGAGATGTAAAGAGTTTGTAAAAACTTAGCTAAAACATACTGTCATCTGACATTGAAGGAAATGGGAAGCTTGAGAGTTCGGGGCAAACGATGGAGCACATTCGCAAACTGCGGGCACTTGCCAAAGAAGCTGGTCTCTCGGCAGATCACATGCTGCAGCTGAGCACAATCATCACTGCACCTGACACTCGTAAGTTTTCTGCATCTTCTCATTGCTGAGCAAAACAAACGAAGTTGCGTGAGTTTGAGATCATGTGCTTTGTTGGGAATTTGAGTATCTGCCCGAATGTGCCAGAGTCTCGACACTGTGCGTCGGCAGAGTCCTGCTATTTGTATGGCAGTTTTTAAGGGCACTCTCTTGTCACTGCTGTGTATGTCACGGGCATTTTTTTCCACCATAGTTACTTGTGATTTTCAAATCGACAATGCATCAGATTACCACCTTTCACAGAAAATTTTTGTTTTGCTAACATGCAGACAGACTGATTTGTGGAAGGGCTTACCTGTCTCAGTATCTTAATGGCTGCGGCTTTTTTTTTTCTGCTGAATTTGGTGCAGCAGATTCAACCCTAGCTTTGATGGTCACATTTCAACAAGTTCAGAAGGGAGGAACGCCTGTGTACTTGTATTCATATGCTTGTTAAAGAAAATATTTGGTGATCAAGTATTATCCAGAGTCCACCTGTACAGTGTGCCTCACACACGTCATAATTGCACAATTCGTTCAGCATGTAAGACTATAAAGTAGAAATATTTCAATCATTTAAGAATAGTAGACAATGGGAAGCCTTTGTCGAAAACCAGCGTACTATCAGGGGAAATTTCTATTTCCTTATGAAAACAATGCCTTTGTAAAAATGTTGACTCACCCTTGATTCAGCTCTGTGGCTCTTCGCGTCCAACTGCTGCTACTCCATCATTGCCATACACCTGATGGCCGCAGAAAAATGAATAGTAACCAAGAAATTTTTAATGAAAAAAGGTAGAATACATAACTACCTAACCACAATGTGTATGTGAGGAAGGTCACTGCACATAGAGCTAATCGCTTCCGCACAGTGGGATCAGATATCTTTAAGACAGGTTTGTGCTTGGCATGCAATTTATCTGGTCACCTGACTCGATTGCTTTGCCTGTTCGACACTTACCACAGACAGAAGGACAACTACTACTATGTCTGCCAGTGCTTACCATTTTATGAGGTCTTGTTTCTTGACAGCATTGAACAATGCATTTGGCACTATTTCATTTATTATTATTAGAGAAAAATCTTAGAGGCCCTGTTGAGCATTGAGTAATGGGTTCATTATTTAAATAACAGGTGAAATACAGTGGAATCAGCTCAAAAATACATATAAAGCAAATGTACAATGAAAACAAACAACAAAAAACATGGTGAGTAAGCAGAACAGCAAAAGAAATTGAGGCAGATTAAGTAGGACCAGTGCACAGATAAGGAGTGTGCACTTATCATGACAATTTGGTCAGGAAGATCATTCCAGTGAAGTATAGCTGATAAATTGAAGCACGAGATACAGCTAACAAATTGAAGGCAGTAGTTTTGCTGAAAATGCGTTTGAAGCTAAGATGATTAATTATTCTGGATGACATGTGTGTCGGTTTCTTGTGTGTTCTGTATGATTTTTGAGTCATCTTCAGCAACAAAACCTTATTGTGTCTTTACTGCACAGTACTAGTTTGGTAATGGCCTGCACTTGATTGAGTGATTTTTCCTTATATTTGCTGAAGGACATCTGTGGCACAGTGTGCACTGCATAAAAACCCGCCATTATTGTAAGCCTCTGTGGTCAAAATGCGGCGGCCAATTTTCTTGTACAATGTGCTGTAATTGTCCGACAGTTTCTAATTCGTTACATCAGCTTTAGTAATTGGTGTTAGTGTGGTTGCTGGCTATAGCAGCCATACTTCAAAGGGGTGGGAATGAAAAATAAAAAACAATCTCATGTACTCAGATTTAGGTGCATGTTAAAGAACACCAGGGAGTATCCATTAATACGAAATTGTTCGTTACACCATCGTTGGTTGTAGTCATGGTTCCGGTAGCTTGCGTAAAGAGTCTCACGTGTGTATTAAAAAATTCTAGAGCCTTGAGATCGTTGGAAAACTCTTCACTAATATTCCACTTGTTATATCTGTAGTCCATGAAACGATGGCATGGGTAATTGGACCACCTGAACTTGGGAGTTGTTCTCAGGGTCTGAATTGCAATGCGATTTCCAGGATCCTCCTTGGCAAAGCCCCTTCTCCAGTGCTTGGTGCCAGTCGAGAATGTCACCAAGCAACTCATTCTTGCTTTCTCCGGGGCGCTCTGCAGTGATTCGTTGTCCCCTGCTGTCAAGGTGAAAACCACTTTTTTTCTCTTAGCTTATATGCAGGCTGTGCCATAAAGCACCTTCATTGATGCATGCAATTGCTTGAGAGGGCTTGTGCAGATATTGTAGTAGCTTTAGCAGGCACAGACTGTAGTGATTGTCACGACTGCAAAGTTAGGTTTCATGTGTGATGTAGACAGCAGCTTGACCATTATAAAAAGTGTTATCAAAAGTTATCTTTGATGGGGCTTCCATGACACTCTTAAAAGTGGAGGCTAATTATTACGCAAACCAGGCTGGTAAAGTACTACTACAGTTGATAAAGTATTACAGTATTGCCAGACTGCCTTGATGCCCTTGATACCTTTTCTTTGCCCCACAAAGCTTCCTGCATAATTTCTGATCAGCTTAGTTATCGACCTTACAAGGTTGACATAAGCACAGGAAACATGATGCGGCATTCATAGACACATTTTGATATGCTTGAGTGAATCTTTAAATGCTTAAAGATTCCTTAAGCCATATTTCACGTAAACATGCGCATTGTGTTCAGAATATCATCGTGATCAGTGATTCTACACATGACAGGGCTACGAGTCGCAAGCGCGCCACAACTTCTAAAAACAATTTCGCCTCTTTTCCGGGCCCTGCAGTCCTCTACGTGGCGTTGAGAAGTTGAATCTCTAACGCACAGCACAAATGTGCTGTGATTGGTAGAGCAGTCCAGTTAGGTTGCATGCAGCTGTCTGCGCTGCTTGTTGTTGTTCGTCCTGTTGCCCGCGTAAGTGCGCGCACTTACGAATCAGCTACTGCGGCCCATAACACAGGGTTCATACTGGCACGATTCGTACAAGCATTGTTAGGCACGGCAGCAGCGGTTTGCCAACAAGCACGCATTCTCCGGAGGGACAGGGTCACGGCAACCAGAAGTAGATGGCATTTCGAGCAGCGCGTCGGTGATGACGAATGCCGCGTGATTGAAAGGGAACACTCGGTGGGAGGGCGGGGTGGCTTTGGGAGTGAATGCCAACTAAGGGCAGTGAAGGAAAAAGCGAAAGGAAAGTGATTGCCACATTTGGAAAATCAAATGCGCCTAACTTCGTTATTACTGCATTGATTTAAGAAACTTGAATTCTCATGGCTCAGTGGGGGGCGCTGCTTAGCGCCCACGATGGCAGACATGCCTGACCTCGGCTCCTTGTTTTCTTGTCAGTTTGACTAGTTTTTTCGGCTGATAGACCACGGTTCGTTGCCGCAGAAGTGAACGCCAGTTACACGGTGAGCCTGTGTCGCACAGACAGCGTTTTTAAAGAACCTTTTCCCCTTTTTCTCTGTGTTTTGTGAACTGACCACCCTAAGCCTAGTGAGCAGCTTCGGACTGGCCTAGGGCACAGCTGCCGGCAGCCGCGTTCACACCGCGTCCGTGCGGCCGTGCCGTGCCTGATGAACCTGTTACGCCTGGCGCGTTTCACTCCGAATCTCAAGACGCCTACTATGAAAACGACCGCGGCATGCACAAGCGTTCCAGTGAACTCAAGCGTTTTTCCAACGCTATCTGACGAAAACGAGACAATGGATGCAACGCAGTCTACGTTGTCATCAGAATCGTCTATAGAACCACGTGTCCATGACACGGCAGCGGGCTCTTCTACCGGCACCACCGAACTTCTCGACAATGGGGTACAAAAGAATAACGCCGTGTACTACCGACACCAAGTGTCGCCGAACAGACTGCACACCGAACGGGCGAGTCGGCCCCGCTATACTGTTTTGATCAGGCCGCTAAACAAAGGGCATGTGACAGACATTCCGAAACAAGCCCTTACAGACGCCATAGAGCAAAGCGCTCCGTCAACCTTTATTGTAGAAATTTCAATTCTCCGCTTTGACATAACCAGTAACTGCGTACGGATCACACTTCGTGGCGAAGGTCATTTTCGCAAACTATGTACACTCTCGCGCTTAGTGGCAACAGTCAATGGTAGCGTGCAAGTAATTGATGTCAACACGTCGCCTCTTCAGCCACAAGCAGTCGGCAGCTCTCGTGGGGTAATAAAATCAGACCTGGCCTAACAATTGAGTACATCTAAGCGCATCTGCGCTGTGAACAGGCAACAATCACCGATGTGCGTAAAACACAGCTGCTGCTTTTGACACTTGATACAGACTCCTTACCAAAACGCTTGGTGTTTGAATATGAGGTCATCCGTGTTCACGAATATCGGCCTCGCCCGGTCGCATGCTACAACTGTCACCGGTTGGGACATGTTGCCAAATACTGTACCTTCCCATCAGTATGCCGGGACTCTGGCAAAGCTCCGCATGAGGTCGACCCAAACTAAGCAGTTTCCTCATTGCGGGGCTTGTGGAGCGTCCACAGACATTTCACTCAGCCCTCATTGTCCTGAACGCAATATATCTGAATCAGCCCTTCCCTGCAACACTAATTATTCATCATCTACGACATCTGCCACACAGCCCACCACTCCGACGCCTCGGAAAGTAACCTGGGCTCAAACAGCCGCTTCTTCCGATTTGACTCAGCTTATCAACAGGCTCCGCCAAGAAGTACAGGAATTACGGCAGGAAAATCAGAGACTTCGCGACCTCATGCTGGACCAAAAGAAACGGAATCGGTCCCCAACGCCAAGCCGCAGTCGGTCTCGAAATAAAAGAAAGAGCCGTTCTCCGACACGTCGTTCTAAACTGGTCACAGACAAGGACTCCGCCTATTCTCACATTATTGGGCTCCTGCGACAGAAACGGGCTCAAGAATATAGTAAGCTGGAGCATGCGATTCGGTCGGAGATGGTTAACACTCCAACACAAGCCCTTGATACCATGCAAACTCGGTTTCAAAATATGTTTGATGAACTGCAGCGCAATGTCCTCGTTGATGACAATAAGCGCCGCAAACCAGGGCCTTCATCATGAGCTCTTTCGCTCAGGGGGTGCAGTGGAATTGTCGTAGTTTTAATCATACGTGCTCCACTATCCGTAATTATGTTCAAAGGCATCGCCCCTTGTTCCTTCTTCTCCAGGAGACACGCAGCACATGCTCGCTTCTTGGTTACCGTGCTTTTCAGACACCAACCATAAAACATAAGCGGCAGCTTCCCAAAGGCCAGGCAGCGCTTCTGGTGCGTAATGACTGCCCGGCCACTCAATTAGACATTCCTGATCTCAGTTCTAATGCTCGCGAAATAGTAGCTGTTAAAATTTGTCCTCCTGGCCAAAAGACCTTCGTGTCCGTGTCTGCGTATTCGCCCAGGAAATATTTCAGTTGGACCATACACATGGCTGGAGACGCTTAAGCAAGCATCTAAGAACCTTCCTCTGCTCGTTGAAGGTGATTTTAATGCTCATCACCCTGCCTGGCGTGCCCGAAAGGCGAATAAACGCGGAAAATATCTTTATGACGCTATTGAACTCTCTTCTGTAGAAATTTGTAACGCCCCCGACACCCCTACAAGAATAAGACATCAAGCGCAGAGAGACACGACCCTAGATTTTACGCTCGCCAGCCCCCAATTTATACGGCACTGGACAGTCTCCAGCCAGCCATGGGGCAGTGATCATCTCCCGATATTCATGGCACTTACTAATAGAAAACGCCGCCGGATCAAAACAACAACAACGATGACTAATTGGAATACTTTTCGTAGTAATGTTACTTGATCATTCTCGACAGTTGAGGGCCTTCTGGACATTCTTCAACAGGCCTGTGAGCTGGCACACGAAACAGTGCCATGGGAAGACCATACTCAGCCGATAGATAACCATTTAGGCAATTTATGAAAAACAGCAGACTATTTAGTGAGAAGATACCACTCGCACGGCAAACGACACTCCGACTTTATGAAAATTATGCGCCAATTTAAGCTTATCAATGAATATCTGCTCCGACTTCAAAGTGAAGTCTGGCAATCCACTTGCGAACGCCTTGGTCGTGTACTGGGCCTCCAAGGTCTATGGCGCATTTTTCGTGGCCTCAGTGGGAAAGGTAAAGGCAACTGTCCTTTGGTCGAGCTGTTCCTCAAAACAGATCTGTCCGTTGTGCAAGACGAAGTTATTACCACTTTCTTTTCTCACGCTTCACTCACTCTGCCTACATCTCCAAAAGCCTGCACCATAATGTCACCCGATCCAAATCTTGATCACCCATTTAGCGTGGGAGAAATGCTAGCAGCCATCAAACACGGGCGTCCTCGATCGGCGCCTGGCCACGACCAAATCACCTGGCAAGAACTCCGCAACCTCGGAGATGAAGCCCAGGATGCACTTTTGGCGGTAATCAATGACCTCTGGGCCTCAGGAAATGTTCCGGAGAACCTTAAGCTGTCTCTCAAATATCCTATTTCGAAACATGGAAAAGAGAAGACCCTCTGCAAGAACCTCCGGCCAATATCTTTAACGTCTACTTTATGTAAGCTCATTGAACGCGTGATTCACAGACGCATCTCCCATTACCTCGAGATAACCTGGCCGGGATACCATTCAGCCCAGGCGGGTTTTTGCCCTAACCTCAGCACCCATGACTGTCTTCAGCTGCTACGGGGCGTTATCAATCGTACTTCAAGAAAATGTTACCTGACTACTTGCTGGCCGTCGACATGCAGAAAGCGTTCGATAATGTTCACCATAACGCTATTTTTGAAGAACTAGCTAAGCACTACCCAAGTCAGCGTGTGCAGACGTTGATTTGAAATTTCCTTGCCGCTCGGCCCATTCGTTTAAGCAGTGCATCACCTGGATGGAGCCCGAAGGCTTACTACATGGACAGAGGTGTTCCACAGGGATCTATTTTAGGACCGACGCTGTTTAATCTGGCCATGAGCAGGGTATCAGAAAACCTTGAACGGGACACCACAGCAAGATTTGCCATTTACGCCGATGATATTACTATATGGATAGAGGCAGTGGATTATTCTGACAAAGAATCAATGCAGACTGAGCTGCAGGCAGCCCTCCTTAGTTTAGAGTCCACTCATAAGGAAGTAGGCCTGCAGCTGGCCCCACATAAGACAGAACTTATAAGCATAGACAGCAAGGATCGCACCAATCAGAAAATGTGTATCTCACTCCATATTGGATCACACACTATACAATCAAAAAACGGACAAATCAAAGTTTTAGGTATACCTATAGCCAGCTGCAACAGCTCACAAAAGTGGGTACGTGGACTGCGGCAGGCATGGCCAGCCACGTTACATATGATACGTCGTCTGTCCAACAAATACGGAGGTGCACGACAACAAGCCTGTCGCAGTCTAGCAAGAGCTGCAGCTGTTGGAAAGATTTTGTACGGTGCACCCATATACACGTTCTCTCCAACGGACGTTCTAAATTTGGAACGCCTTATCGGGCTACTCTCCGTACCATCACGGGGCTCCCTAAACACACTGAGATATCCGCCCTTAAAAGCGCTTGGGGCTTGCCCCCTCTGCAAGACGTCATCCGTGAAGCCCACACTCGACACCACATCCGCCTGGAAAACACGCCACAAGGTCATCGCCTTCTGGCCTGGGATTTTCAGCGGCATGATGATGCACTGCTTAATCAGTCCTTACCCCCATGAGAAACTCCAATAGCCTCTCAACTGTTCCGTCGCCTCATATCTAGTCACAATAATACTGCCCGCCAGTTTCTTGCCACCCGACAAGTAAGGGAAGCGAGCTTAGATACCATCGACATATACACGGACGCTGCCATTACCGATGACGAAGCTTGTATAGCATGGATCTGCACGCAGACCACCGAGTACACTGGGGCCTACTGGTGCCATCTACCGAACGGTACCCCTATGCATGCCAAACTACTTGCCATATAGGGAGCGACTGCAAGCTTCATACTTTATACAGAAACCCCTTCATGTCTTTACCATCTCGCATGCTGCCTACTCGGAAATATTTCGCCCAGCGTCCGAGGATGCTACAGCTGCTGCTATTCAAAGCATCATTCGTAGGCATGAAAAAGCCGATAGGCCAATAGAAATTATCTGGACGCCGGGGCATGCGGGTGTGCCCGGGGGCAATACGGCGGCGCACGCCGCTGCTGCTTCAGCAGGTGGGTCGACCAATCTTTCTCTGCCCCCACCTCTCAGGGTGAACCTGTATGAGCTCTTAAGTCAAATGGCTCCCTCAGTAGTCACAATGCACTGCGTACGCAGGTCCCTGCGTCACGCTAGTCAAAAACGCATTGCGCAGGTTACCCCACTAGTCCTATTTTCCAGCAAATGTAAGCTTTCACGCTCCCAAGAAGTCTTTATTATTCATCATCATCATCATCAGCTTGACTACGTCCACTGCAGGACAAAGGCCTCTCCCATGTTCCGCCAGTTAACCCGGTCCTGTGCTTGCTGCTGCCAATTTATACTCGCAAACTTCTTAATCTCATCTGCCCACCTAACCTTCTGTCTCCCCCTAACCCACTTGCCTTCTCTGGGAATCCAGTTAGTTACCCTTAATGACCAGCGGTTATCCTGTCTACGTGCTACATGCCCGGCCCATGTCCATTTCTTCTTTTTGATTTCAGCTATGATATCCTTAACACCCGTTTGGTCCCTAATCCACTCTGCTCTCTTCTTGTCTCTTAAAGTTACACCTACCATTTTTCTTTCCATTGCTCGCTGCGTCGTCCTCAATTTAAGCTGTACCCTCTTTGTAAGTCTCCAGGTTTCTGCTCCGTAGCTAAGTACTGGCAAGATACAGCTGTTATATGCCTTCCTCTTGAGGGATAGTGGCAATCTACCTGTCATAATTTGAGAGTGCTTGCCAAATGTGCTCCACCCCATTCTTATTCTTCTAGTTACTTTGATCTCGTGGTTCGGCTCCGCGGTTATTACCTGCCCTAAGTAGACATAGTCTTTTACAACTTGAAGTGCACTATTACCTATCTCGAAGCGCTGCTCTTTTCCAAGGTTGTTGTACATTACTTTCGCTTTCTGCAGATTCATTTTAAGACGCACCTTTCTGCTCTCCTTGTCTAACTACTTAATCATGAGTTGCGATTCGTCCCCTGAGTTACTCAGCAATGCAATCTCATCGGCGAAGCGCAGGTTACAAAGGTACTCTCCATTAACTCTTACCCCTAACTGTTCCCATTCTAGGCATCTGAAAACCTCCTGTAAGCACGCGGTAAATAGCATTGGGGAGATTGTGTCCCCCTGCCTTACACCCTTCTTGATTGGTGTTCTGTTGCCTCTTCATGAAGCACTATGGTAGCAGTTGATCCCCTGTAGATTTCTTCCAGGATGTTTATATATACTTCATCGACGCCCTGATTCCGCAGTGTCTGCATGACGGCTGATATTTCTTTTGAATCAAAGGCCTTCTCGTAATCTATGAAGGCTATGTATAGTGGTCGGTTATATTCTGAGCATTTCTCTAATACCTGATTGATTGTATGAATGTGGTCGATTGTTGAGTAGCCTGTTCGAAATCCTGCTTGTTCCTTTGGTTGATTGAATTCTAATGTTTTCTTTATTCTGTTAGCAATTACCTTTGTAAATAGCTTGTATACTACAGAGAGCAAGCTGATCGGCCTGTAATTCTTCAAGTCCTTGTTATCTCCTTTCTTATGTATTAAGATGATGTTAGCGTTCTTCCAAGACTCTGGTACTCTTCCCGTCAAGTGACACCTCGTAAACAGGGTGGCTAGTTTTTTCATTAATAAGGTCTACGCAAATTCTGCATACACACCATACTCTTTAGCAAAATGGCGAAAACCGGACATTGCGACAGTGACGTGCAATCACTGCGGGCTGTGTTGCCGCGCAGACCTTCACCACATACTGTGGCAGTGTTCCGCATTTGAAAAAGGGTGAATGGCCATACAAGCTTTGCAAACCACAAATTATCGTGAAGCGCTCCTTACGAGCCCGGACACGCAGTTATTATTTGCCCAATATGGAAGTCAGAGCGGCCTGATCAGAGTGGTTTAGGGGGTCCGACAAACCACAGTACTGACCCTATACCGCCTCAGTACCAGTGGTGGTGAATACAATAAGTGTAAAACCCGTGACACTGTGAACTAGTAGTGTAGTTAGAAATTCCTGCTTATCGCCTGCAGAGGTCCTGTGCCTCCCCCCTTTTTTTTTCAATAAAAGACTTTCCATCCATCCATCCATCATGGCTCAGTGGATGCTGTACACACATGCACAACTTCCTCACCACCACTGAATTTCGAAGTCTGAATGTTTCAAGGTGCCCTTTAATGGAAACAAGCAAACAAGATGTTGGAAGCTCTCATGATTTGGAATGGTATTTGATATCTGTGGACCTGAAAGACATGGGTCTGATCCTGGCTGTGGTGGTTGCATTTCAATACTGGTGAAATGCAAGAGGCCTGTGTACTTTAAGATTTGGGGCACATTAAAACATCCGAAGTGGTCAGAATTATCCAAAGATCCACACTGCAGTATCTTCCATAGCCTGGTTTACATTAGGACGTTAAACCCCATGAACCAAACAGCCATTCATTTTCATTTGGTGTTAGATCGCCTAATGCATTCTTTTTTTTTTTCATAAACTCTAGTAAAAATAGGTTTGATTAAATTTTCTACATAGGCATTCAGTCGTAGTATATCCCGCTGCAACATGTGCGCTCTTTGCCATTTTTTTACACTAAAATGTTTGCTATAGATCTTATCAGTTATGCGCATCCTTAAAAGTTTGAATTTTTCATCTGTTGTGACAAAAAACATTATTTCACATTATCTGTAGGCGAACCACTTCTCCATTCTACTTATCAGGTGTGTAATTTCCTGCATTTTTATATGGCCGCTTCGTTGAGCAGAACTCTTGACCAAGGATTCATCATAAAACAAGTTCTTGTTTTAGTTTCAAATTCACATCTCTCTTAACTTGTTGAAGAGTCACTCTTTTTTTTTTCATTTGGCTGAAATAACTTGATACAATGATTTATTGCTTCATAATTTGCGACATTTAATGGGCAGCTTGTTTTAGTGCTATCCACTGAAAACATTTTTGTGTGAAGGTGTTTGTGCACGGTGAAAGCTCTTCTTGACAACATTAACTTGGACTCCCCCACTAGGGTGTGCCTCATATACAGATCACTTATAGACCATGACACCGTGACCTAATGAAGTTTAATTGGTTTACTTCATTTCTTTCCTTTTTTGCATATAGAGGGACATCATGCAGTGGATGGTTGCAGTACACCACTTGTTTGGCAGCAGCTGCAATTTGGTGCTGCTCTGCAGGTCTCTACTAAAGCTTCTTGACACATCTCTGGTATGCTGCTTACAACTTGCTGGTCTTAGTGAGCATACTTTGTGGCAGCAAATAATAGAAAAAAAACAGGTGGCGCAGTGTCATAACTCACAGTTGAACTTTATTTGTAGTGAACAGTGTCCGTATAATAGAAGCGACAAACGTTAACGCAATATCGTAAGATCGCGAGCGAGTACCCTGATGCGAGCAAGAGGCGTCCTTCTTCCATTTTTTAGGAGATTCGAAACATGTGCCAATGCCTGAGCAAGCACCCCTCCTTCCCCTCTCGCTATATTTTGCCTACCTGTTCTTTGCTACAGAATCGTTCAACATTAGTTCCTAGGAACCCAAGGTGCGAGCATCTTTAAATATGTAAACAATTTCTTACTACCTATTAGAAATTTGGTAAGCTTGTATAAGCCCGCATAATGTGGTTGTGAATTTAAAATAAAAGAAGTAATGGGATCGAGGTGCTAATAACATGTACATACTCTAAACCTCGAAGTATGGCTTCACAGAAACGTGGATTTTTATGATGCAGGGGTATTATTACAACATAGTGGCCCAGTGCTGCAGCAAAATTACCTTTTTAGCTGGGTCATGCGTCACGTGGTAAAACACATCTAACCATTCGATTTAAATACTTAAAAATTTAGGAAGTTGCGAATTCGTGTTGAAGCGAATTCATATAGTGTACCATTCATTCCAATATTCTAAGTTCTCGAAAGTTTGCTCAAGCCAACCGAAAATGATTGTCTGGCAATACTGTTCTCGTACTACAGGCCTCATTGTAAGAACACTTCAATGGAGCAGCTGTTAACTGGAAGTGTGATAGATACTGGCATATGTTGCAAAGTGTCTGGTGTTCAGCTGTTTGATGCAGCTGTTCAATAGGAATTGAAGCAAGTTGTAATATTTTGTTTTTGTTCAAGTTATTTTATGCCAGCGTGCACTTGATTCTAGCAACTGCTGTCATATGGGCAAATCAAATGGTTTGCCTGCATCTTGTGCGAAATCTGTGATGCATGGAGAAAATCTAGACATTACTAAGCCGCCTACCCCCTCCCTCCCTCATTGTACCCACTTGGACTGAAGAAGAGAGTGAGAGAATACAATGAGAGAAAGGCATGGAGTTGAACCAGGATTGTAGCATCTGCTTTGCTACCCTGTTTTAAGGGGAGGAGGAAAGAAAAGGGGAAAGCAAAAGACATTCGGGGAACAGGAGCGGAGGTGCTAGTATAGCCTATTCAATAGGGCCACTACCACTCAAAAATTTCAATAAGGCCCCAACTGATTTTCTGTGTGAAGACAGACCCAGTTAAGCTATACTGATATACCCTTAATGGAAAGGAACAAGATATTGGAACTTCTCATGATGTGAAATGGTGTTTGAGATTTACGAATCTAAAAGCCACGGAATCCAGCCTACTGTTTGATTAGCAAAGTGTCAGCGCCTGTCATATTTCCAGTATCTCAGAAAACGAAAAATATCTAGGAGCTGCGGATCTGTACTTGTGTCGGTGCTTTCAGAGTGGAACACAGTGAATAGATGTTCTTTCACCTTCATCTGCTTGTCGTAGTTCATGCATGTGAAGGCCTCGTGTCTGTGGCCTTTTCCTCCCCAGCACAAGGCCACACGTTGGCGCTGTTGCCCTTTTTTTCAATTGTACTCACATGGTCCTGTCCTTCTGCAGTCTGGTGATGCCGTAACCTTGCTGCTTCTTTTGGCCTCGGAGGGCACTGCGACGTCATTCACAAGGTCCGCGGTTTCCAAGGCGATGCAGAGAAAGGTGACTGTTAAGACTTTTGACATTAGGAAAGCCTGTTTGAATAGTGTGTGCTAGCGCGCAAAGCTGAATGTTCACCTCGCTGTGTTCAGATAGAAGCTCGCTCTCTCGCTCCCCTATCTCACCCGCCTTCAAGCTTGTGCACCTCTAGGTTAAAGTAAAACTTTCTAATGACAGCAATGGTCGATATTTTCTCACTTGTGACTGCATGCAGTGTTTTCAAGAGTCGCGAAGCACAAGGGTGGAACAGCGGCGCCACCTGTGCCTTTGTGCGCCAAACCTGTTTACCTGCGCTATCCTGCGGTGAACAACTCCTGTTGCGCCAAACTCGTTTATCAGTGCTGTACTGTGCCGCAGCACCCACATTTAGTCGCACCCACTACAAGGTGTGACAGCCATCAAGCCCTGTGCTTGAAAATGTGGCTAAAACACTGTGTTTCATCAAAACAGTAATAGTTTCAGTTTCGTCAAGGCTGTAATCGCTCGAGCTGTGAAGTTCGATTCCAAGCACGCGGTCGCAAGCGCTGACGTGCGTGCTATCTCGACTGACATCAGCGCAAATGGCTCCTGAACCCTTCTACGTGCTGCGCTCTCAGCCTAAGAGACTGTGTGAAAAGGACATGTCTCCCCTAAGCTGCTGGCGCGGCCGTATTCTCTTACATCGGCTTTTTATTAGAGTTACATGATAGTATTGGATGCAAAGAACTTAGCTGGCAGCCTGATCTCGTATAACCTTACAATTTGTTGTTATCACATTCAGTGAAACTAATTTCTTATAACTTGATTGCAGCTTACAGAAAAAGAAAAAAGGATGACGGTAATGGTGCTCAGAATAAGTCGAGGCGGTTCCCAAAACAGCCTAGCAAAGACAGGTGCAGAGAGGACAGCCCTTGAGCGCGAGTGTGTATATTATCATTCATGTCACCACTTTGCTCGGTTATATGGTGCTTATCCGCTCGCTTGTTCACGCTCGCGTATTCTATTAAAAAAAAAAAGGGGGCGACTGTACAAAGCTAAAAAGTCGCAGTTTCACCACAAGGGCGAAGCAATGATTGAAAATGAAACAAATTGAAATGTTATACGAAGTGATGCTAGCAGCTAACTCTTTTAGATTCGATCTAGATCTACAAGATACTAAAGTAAGAGAATACACCCACTCCAGGGAGAGTAACGCTTTTCGCAGTTCTCTTCGCGAAGTGTGTGCAAGCCGCCCGCGGCTGGTTGCCGAGCAAGCGTGCGCGCCAGCGATCGCGACCGCCCCCTTAGATGTTAAGTTCACAGTTGCTGCTTGAGCAAACCCCTCTCTCGTGTCTTTTTCGTCTTATTAAAGGGTAGGATGTTTCCTCTGTGCTCCGACGACAGGCCTCCCAAACGGAGTGATGTTATCACATGAGCCAAACCCATAGCCAATTGAGGGGTGCCTAGGCGCCTGCCCCCTCCCCAAAATTTGGAGTGGGGGGTGGTGGCGGGGTGTTTCACTGAGGAAAAATAATGAAAATAAGTTTTTCAAGAGCTTGAAAAAAATGACCCCCTCCTCCCCAAAAAATTTCTGGCTATGGGCATGAGTCCTCTGAAAGACTGAGATAAACCAGTTCTTTTGAAATGTGCTTACCTGCGGGTCGAACATACGGTGCACAGGGCTGTTATCAATTTGCACATTATACTTGATTTGACGGAAATAGCAAAAGACCTCTATAGTTGTCTTTCGTTTATAATATCAAAACTGCCTTACACTATCCTTGCAGTTGCAATTTCAATAATCGGGCTGTTGCACAATTAAGCTTAGTGCTTAAAAAATGTAGCAATGGGCAAATGTTGCTTAACAAGTGCTGTGTAACGGGGCTACATTTTTTCTGATTGTTTTCTCAGTTCCAAACGTGATCGAAAAGGCTATTCTGGCTGCTACAAGCTCATTTCAAAATCTCTTTTTTTGGATGCTCCAAGCCTGCTACCAAAGGCGCTCTTGCCAGCTTCTGTGACTACTCCAAAACTTTAGTACCTTTTTCCATAGAGTTTGCTAAAATTAACTAAGGGGACTCTGGTGCTGCGATCGTTCAGCGACCATAGGAATGATGGGTAGTACACGGATTTGCCTACTCTTTGTACATGCGGGCAGGGAATCGTACTTGTGGCTTTGTTCATTGCTGTGTTTCGGTTTGTTTCGAAAGAAGGAATGAACCCTTTCGAACTTCGTAACCCGATTTGAAATGTTAAGCATAAGAGAATGAGGTGGTGAAGTGCAGCTGCTGAACTCTTGCTGATTTTTGCTTCGTGAGAAAGCAGCTCCAAGCCACACGAACATACACAGAGCCAGAAGTACTAAGATTAGACAAATCTGCATACGTACTACCTATCATTCCAATGCTCGGTGAAGCGCCGTGCATTGCAGCTCCCATAGACACTAGTGCCAGAGTTCCCTCTATTGTATATTTAGGAAACTCTATGACCTGTTTCCCTCCTAGAAGCAATTGAAAAACTCTCCTGCATCTGTACGAATGCTGTTCATGTTGTAACAGTGCTGAGACAAGGCAAAGGTCTTCTCTATGCAGTTTTCTGTTCAAAAGCTGTAGCAAACAAACCAAGATGACTAAGAAAATATCGCCTCTTTGTGAATGATAACTTGTCTTAACACAACGGGAGGAGAGCAAAAGAAAGTTTGTTTACAGGCATGCCACATTTCGTGAACTTATACAACTGCTTCTAATATGATTCGTTTCATATTTTGATTCAAGCACTGATATTCATCTCTCAGTAGATAGAACGCCTCTTAAGCGGAACATGTTTTTCCGGTCCTTCAGGTAACCTTCAATGAAGATCTGCTGCACTATACTCGGCAAGAACTTTGCTTGACAGCACTGTGAAAGTTACAGAACCAAAGTGCATGCCTTCTATCGCACGAAAAAATAGTACTTAAGTTAACGTATAATTTTCTATTTGTAATTGGCAAGTACTTAACCTATAATTTGCTCATTTTGCTTTGCAGAAATGAATGCTGCTTTATTTCTTATGAGAGTCAAACAGTTACGGGAAGTCGTAGATAAAATACAGTTACTGTTTGCTTTGCAATAACGCCTTCCTTATTTATTTAAATTTTTTAGACAGCGCCACCTTCTCGACACACCCGTTTTCTGAAGTATACATGGCATCCATGATGTAGTAGCTCAGTGTACGGCCTCGAATGTGCTGTTTAGTACTCTAAGAAGAACATGCTTGTCACATATGGCACTAAAATGTACACCGAACCATCGCAGTGTCTCTTCCATTCACATTTTAGTATACTATAATATATAGAATTTTCTGAACGCGCTAACGATGCGAGCGAGCAAAACTGAAGGCGACCACAAGTTGCTATGCTACTTGTGAAGAGACTCGAATGTGGGGAAGCTCGAACGTCAAGATAAGTATTAGCAGAGTATAGCTGCCACACAATGTGTAGAGAGCTGCCTTGGCACATATATGTCATGTACGACACCATGTTAACTCTGGTGCACCTTTATTCTCGCACCAGTACTGTTGAACTTCGATAATACGTCCTTTGTTTTTCGCGATGATCCGCATTCTACGACGAATCAGTTTGGTCCCCTCAAAATCCCCATGGAAGTAATGTATGGTTAAAAACCTTGGTTATACGATGCAGTTTTATGCCAATCCTGCATCTTACAATGGCTTTGAGATTACGTTCGAAAGAAATAACCCGCTTTACTCGAATCAAATGTTTAAATATTCATGAGGGCGAAACATGAACTTGCGTTCATTCCCTTATCTTCACGATTAGAAAAGTAGAGAGACAGGATGTCTTCTTAAAAAGTAAAATTAAATTTTTTTGGAAGTTCGTGCGATTCTATTTATGCCTCGATCGCATGTGTACGTATATGGGTTTGTTACCTAGTCGAGCTCTATCTGCACAGAGTAGCTTCAGCTGGCCAATAAGCTGATATTTTCACATTTTCGGTTCGTAGAATTTTTTTCCAGGCCGACATACAACTGATCTCCTTCTTTGGTCACACTCGCAGTCACAGGCTTGCGCATGCATAAGGGTGCGATGCAGCTGTTTTCATCATGCAAAATTACTTTCACTTGATTTCAACGTTCATAATAACAGCGGGACATCAGTACTAGTTGCAATTGACAAGCCAACAAATTACAATGCGCACAGCTCAGTCGCGCACAGCTCAGTCGCGCACGAAAGCATTCTACGCAAACTCGTGGTCTGTCGCCATTATGTGATAGCGATGACACTGTGTCTGACTCACGGTGTAAGAATAGTTTAGGTGAGAGAACGCCCCCGCTCTTCGCTTCGCGACAACGCTCTGCTTCTCAGCTCCCTCAACAGATGGCGCTAGCAACTAATGCCCTTTCGGCGCAGAAAAGCAGGCACAGCTCGGAGCCACTTTAGCTGAGGATCGGTATGTAAGAAGCAGTTTTGCTTGGCTATGGCACCGAACGTGGCTTTTATAAAGCAGATCATTCAATTAAATATGTTCTTTGACCTTTCTGGCTTATAACATCATATGAGTGAATTCATCAAGCATGCAGCATTCAGGTTTATGTAGCCGGTCCAAGCAGCGCGTCTTTGGCAATGTTCCAATCGTCTGACCGATATTAATAATTGCGGAGGTGGCCAGAGGTTTCTGCAACACCAAATATCACGTCAAAGAACGTTCGCTATATTTACGCTTGCCCTGTTCACGGTTGTAGGCAGTCAAGAGTACGTGAAGTTACATTCAGATTTGATTTTCCGCCTCTCACGAGGGTTTTATTATGCGATAACATGAGCGTTGGCGATAAGCGCGAGAGAAATTTAATGAGTTAAAGGAATAGACATAAAACGCTAACTACATCTTGGCCAAAAAGTGGCTTATGAATTGTCACATACCATTCAACATTTTCTTGTTCTGTGTAACATGCATGTCTTCGACAATCAAAATTCGACGCTTTCCCATGTATATACATTTTAATATTCTTTATGACTCCTATACTTCACGACACGGATGCACATATTT